CATACTTTGCTTGAGGGCAAGCAAGATTATAGTTGGGGAGAGTTGTTATATGCCCAATTGTGCTTATTTGAGATATCAAATATGGGCATCTTTCACTCCTTTTTTATCAAGAAAGTGTTCAAAATCACTCTAGCTTTGGTTGGTTTGCAACTTTGTGTAAAAGTATCTTGGTACCCTTAATTTTTATGTTATTGTGCAGGAATTTGGCATGAAATAGTGAGAATTAAGACACAAGAAAGATGGCAAGGAAACCAAGACAGCAAGCAAACATCACAAGTTCGCTAGGCGAACTGGCTAGCGAAGCTCCCTCCAAAACTTCACAAAGTTCGCTAGGTGAACTATATAGCGAAGGTAAAGAATCCAAAATAGCAAGGAAACGACCATAAACTCGCTAGGCGAGGGAGGTTGCGAAGAACTCGCTAGGCGAAGAAGCAACGAGTAACTAGCGAACATGACAGCTCAAGTGACCCTTCTATAAGTAGCATGGGCTACTTTTTGTAAAAATATCTTTTTTCTTGTACTTGAATTTGAGAGGATTTTTCTGACCTAGAAACCCATTCTTTCATTTCTCATCATCCCTTAGCAATATTTCACCAAAAGAAGGTGGATTTCCATCCATTCTCGATTATTCGACTCAGATGTTGATCAACCTTCTTCTGATACTTGTTGCTCAAGCTATCATAAAAATGAGTGGCTAAATCCCTCTCTTGTCAAGGTTAGGAGTAGTTAGTTCATATTTTATGTATTCTTCTTAATCTCTTGTATGTGAACAATGTTATGATCAATGTAGATGAAGTTATTTGCTACTATTTGTACATTTATGGTTTGGATTGCTTTAGACATGAACTTTCCAAGTCTTGACCTAATATCTTCATCTATCAACTATACAAATGCTAGAGATAAATTTGAAAGTTGATATCCGCTTTGTATCGATCTTAATGATTATTGTTTCGATTGTTATTTAGAGAGATCATTTAACGGTCGAAACAATAACATTCACGAAATCGCTTTAGAGATGAACATTTTTGCGAGGATACGCGATTATGTTGGTTAGAACTTCGTTAACATATTTGATTGGTTGGATACATTTAGGACGGACTAATCAACCCTAATCTTGGCATGTTTTTATCAAACTTAGACCGACTTTTATTCCATTTTAAATCTTGCAAACTTATGTTATGAAGTTGAAACCATTATAAAAAAAAACCCTTTTTTCTTAAGTCATTAAACCGTTGAACGACAAGCATCTATAATCTCTAGAATCCCTGTGGATACAATAAAACACTACCGCAAAATACTTTCTAACATTTGTTGGCTCAAATGGATGATCTGGGTTGTATTTTTCAGATTCTAAGTAGTAGAGGACGTCATTGTCGCGACCTCTAAATTCCAGAAATTTTCGGAGATACATATCCTGAAAGTTCAACGTTTTATATACTTTAAGAATTTTCGGAGATACATCTCCAGAATGTTTCCGTAGATATATCTCCGGAATTTCCTCAGTCTATTTTTTAAAGAATTTTCTTATTTGTGTTGTTCTTTTTCTCAACTAATTATATGTCTAATATTACCTTGCAGGCATAATGGATAACATAGTCGACAAACTGAGACTTGGATGAGTTTCCCAGCATGCATCCATTCGCAGGGAAGGAGCCAGCAGGTTCTGGAGATACATCTTCTGAAAGTTCAATGTTTTATATACTTTAAGAAATTTTGAAGATACATCTCCGGAATGTTTCCGTAGATATATCTCCGGAATTTCCTCAGTCTATTTTTTTAAGAATTTTTTTCTTTGTGTTGTTCTTTTGCGTCAACTAATTATATGTCTAATATTACCTTGCAGTCATAATGGCTAACAGAGTCGACAAACTGAGACTTAGATGAGTTTCCCAGCATGCATCCATTTGCGGGAATGGAGCCAGCAGGTTCTGGAGGGTGCAGGTACATTTGTTCAGGCAGAGGAGTCGATTTTAGGGGTGCAGTCTACTCCTGGGGCTCGGCCTTCACCTCAGGTCACTCCACCTATATATCAAGTCACTCCATCTTCATCCCAGACCATTTCATCTTCATCTCAAGCCACTTCACCTTCTTCTTCTTCTTCCCGTAGAAGACGAGATGCACCAGCTGACACGTCACTTCTCCCATCCTCCCGCAGGCGTCGAGATGCACCTGTGCCACCTCTTATTGATCCAGTGCCATCTCCCGCTGATGATCCTGCTAATCCAGTGCCACCTTCGGAGGGTGAAATTGTTGAGGATGTTGAGCCAGAGGGATTCGGAGGAGGTCCATATGATATGTCCCTACTTCCTCTGTACCCATACCATACTGCCAGACATATCTGAGACAAAGAGATCACATTACTCTGAGTTTTGATTTATTTATTACGTTAATTTAAATTGCTGACATTGATTACTTTTAACTTCGATTATTATTAACATTGATTATTTCTGGAAAATCGCAGGTGCATGATCCCTAGAAGTTTTTGAACCATGGGAGGAAGATTTTAGCATTGCATCAGCTGGAAGAACATTGGTTTCAGTCGATTTTGACTGCTTCTGAGTTGCGTGACCTATGCATGACTGGTTATAATCTGGTTAACCACAGGATGCTTAATACATTTGTAGAGAGATGACATTCTAAGATGTCTTTTTTTCATCTCTCACATGGTGAGATGTCTATCACACTGGATTACGTCTCGTCTTTGTTGCATCTTCTGATCAGGGGGAAATTCCTCCATTATGGTAGCATGGCCAAAGACGAGGCGGTCGAGATGATGGTGGACTGATCCAAGGGACACGATTGAGGAGGTGGATAAGACTAGGGGTTCCTATGCTAGGTTTGAGTTCCTGAAGAATATATTTGATTATGAGATCGCTACTGAACAACAGGCTAATGGTGATGCCGAGTAGGTGGCCTTACACAGGACTCATGCTTTGAGGGCATATTTTCTTTATTTAGTTGGCACTTGTATTTTTGTGGACACGAGTGCCACCTATACTGACGTTGCATACCTCCAGTACTTCTTGGATCTCACACGTATTCATGAGCACAACTGGGGGGCGGGTTGTCTGGCCTCTCTATATTCGAAGTTGAGAGATGAATGTCGATAGAGGACGAAGCAGGTCACAGGCAACACGACACTACTCGTGGTAATAATTTTTTATCCTTGAATATTTTTTTTATCATTTTCATATTTGTGATAATTCTTGATCCCTGAATGCTTTTTATTTTCATTTCAGGATCCAGCAACCATTTTTTGCGCATCGTTGGTTGGTCATGTTGGGATGAGTGCACTGAGGAGATGCCCAGTGCTTGTGTTTTCATCCCGCTAAGAGGGAACCAGGTGCTTGAGCCTTTCAGAGTCTATCTTGACCGCTTGGCTAGCAAGAACATCCAATTCATCTGCTACATAGATCATCGTCAGACGCTGTCATTTGACGACATATCTCTATATTCCGGATGGCTGACCTGCGGATCGTGTATCGCTGCTCCTGGTCTGCCCGAGCGCGTCATGCAGCAGTTCAGATAAACTCAGACCATCCATAGACACCCTGTTGTCTCTGCTCCTTCTGCCTTGACTTATATACAAATAGATGAGATGTTTGCTGATTATTAGAGTCATCTGGTACCGGATGAGGCTCAAGCTACCATAGCGCCGAATGACTGGAGCTACATGGACGGATACATCAGGTGGTTCATCACGGTCTCACATCCGCACATGGTACCGATGCTCCAGGAGATCTGCCGAGACCAGCTCATCAGGAGATTCTAGAGGAGCAGCAGGCTCAACTAGATCATATTGAGGTTGTCTTGCCTCGGTGTCATCACATAGTGGAGATTGTGCGGGCAGACATTAACGAGGGTATCTTCCTTGAGGGCTCTGCTGGGCGAGTACTGTATGCCATAGTTGCGGAGGCACATGGGGCACTATTGCACCGCAGACATCGCACGAGGACGGGGGGATTGATGACCTATGAGGCAGACCAGGCAGAGGAGGCACAAGAGGTGTAGGAGAGGTTGTCAGGCACACTCAGTAGGAGCTTATTATTATTTTGATGTTTTATTATAGTTTGTATTTTTTCCTGACATTGCTACTATATTTTAGATTTGGTGTTGTACAACATTCTACTATTATATTGCTATACTATTTTGCATGTCTGTTATTTTATTCAGTATCGTTCTTCATAATTCATTTGAAAACAAATACACAATTCGTTATGAAAAAAACTGTTCTGATACATTTCGGAGATATATCTTCGGAATATTCTTATAGTTATATCTCCGAAAATATTTATAAAAAAAAAAGGGTTACGGAAAATATGATGTGAGCATTTTAGGTTAAATTAATTCCAGAGATATATTTCTAAAATATATTAATGTTTACTTAAAAGTGGAGTGCATCTGGAGATATCTCCCGAACCGGAAAACATAATGATAGATAAAAAATGCGGGTGAAAAAAGAAATTCTCTTAATAAAATACAGACGCACTTCACATGGACTCGATCAAAAATGCCCTAATGAATATGTATGGATCCTAAAATCCGAATTCAACAACTTTATGATTCTCTGTTAATCCACGGAACTTTTCCAAAACTATGTTAGAACAAATGTTTCTCTCCTCATTATATTCAAACTTGAGATTGAAGGAATGTCTCCTTCCACACATTTTATGTTCAATTCACAGTTACATCAAAGGACCAACAAGCCCTTTTGAAAAGACAAATCCAATATCAAATCAACAATCTCTTTGACATTACATCTTACCAATTGCAACAACTTTTGATAGACTATAGTTTGTTTGGTAAGGAAAAATAAAACACATTTTTATGTCTCTTTACTTATCTGATGCTATCACATCAATTCCAATTGAAATGAAGGAATCAATTTGAATGAGTATAAACCTAATCTATTTCCTTTCCTATTGACACTTTCAAAGAAATTTATGAACAAGATGTGTTTTCGATGAGAAAATTTTGGTGGAGTCAACACATTGTCTCTGCTACCCTGCGGCTAATAGCCAAAGCATTATTAAGGACGAAATTGAAATCGGTATCCAGCTTAAGAAGGCACATGCAACTGAAATCTGATATTTTCGACATTCCTTTCCAAATTGGCAATGTCCTAGATCGTTAAAGTACAAAACTGTTATGCCTGCTGAGGAACACGCTGCAGCTAGAGATAGTGTGGCTGTTACCTGCCGACAGTGGTCAAGAAAATTAATCAAAACTCCCTACGCAATAGCACTGCTATAGCCGCTAGTTGTAAATATTGATGTATGTAATAAAAAAAATCGTAGTCAAGGTTTTTGCTGAGACTAACCCAATCTCCGACCAGATAGAGGCTAACTAGTACATGATTGTGGAGGACCTTCTTTCTCACCAAGGCGTATGCGTCCAATACAGCGAGCACAAAACTCCATATGGTTTGTAAGCCCATTGCAGCTATCAAGTAACTGCAATGCAAATGGAACAATCGGCATTAAGTAATTCCGTATGAATCAAATCACACTATATACATGCTGTATGAGTAAATTTCCGAATCATAAGATTGATGGTAAAACAGTTCATCATGTACGTATATGTTCGTCACTATATGGGGAAAACAGTAACATATATATGATACAAAAAATGATAATATGCGATTAACCAACACTTCACTGGTGTTTCGCCCGAGGATATTTGTCCAACAAATAGCTCAAAAAAGCGCAGATAAAAGCATATCAGGAGGATCATAAATGATGAAAGCTAAAAATAATAATAATAAATGGGACAAGGATTTGACAAGTACAATGCATACTCTTTAGAATTATAATTTGTCTTAGGCCTAATTCAACCAATGTAGTCAAGCACGAGAACTTAAGTAGGATCCGTCGGCTTGTGAAAGATCGTAAAATTCTGATTGTTAGTACAACATGTAAGATCCTACCGAAGAGGGGAAAAAAAAGGTAAGTTCATACATATGTATACACACACATACACAAAAACATGAAAAATCATAATAAAGGTCCAAAAAAAGGGCACTTTTTTTACGATCTTGCTTTAAAAAACGCAATCTTGATCACGCCCCCAACGAAAACGATCTTTCTTTAATCGTAGCACTCAGGCATCCTTAGCCCGTAAAATCTCAAGATCTTACGTTCCAGCACTCGATATTGACTACATTGCATCAACTCCAAAATCTAGCCCAAGTAGGGAGGATAAAGTCATATCTTTGGCCAAAATGAGATTTCAACACACAGTTTGCCTCATGACATTTGAAGGGTAGACAAATGTGAGTGACCTAATAATATGAAGCATATCTAGAAGAGTTTTGATATCATATTAAGATTCGGATTAGAACTAACAAAACCAAGTACCAAGAGTTGTCGGGTGGGAGAAGTAGCTCAACTAGCTTGAAACAGTTGAGTTAAGGGTTAAAAGGAGTTGGAGATCCAGAGTTGACAAGGGTGTAAATATATACTAACCATTAACCAGTAACAATTTGCCAAAAGTAGTTAGATTTGTCCTTGCCGTATAACAAATTTTCTAGTGAATAATGATATCTCTAGTTGATGTGGGATTTTAACGCATACCTTTTTTGGCAATAATAAGCAAGTCAACAAGAGATTTAGGTAGCTCAGGAGTAGGATTAACAAGATTATGGAGCGGTAACAGATTACGAGGGTGACAGTGATGAGTAAAAAGTGGACCGAGAGAAAGTCGTGATGATTGAGAAGTTGTACCTTTAGGAACAAAGACCAAATTACTCAAGTTAAATGCTACTTTTTCACCCATTGAGTTTGAAAATGCATAGGAAATAAGACCTTTCTGAGACTTGGAAGAGTCAAAGTTTGGTTCAAGAATCATAGTAATTTGTAATTTGTTTACAAGTTGTAGCGATTGGGCAGCACCTGAAACACACATAAACAGGTACAGACAGCAGCATCAAACTCAAAAGATTGAAATTTGAGCATTAGTGAGAACAAAAGACCATTATTATGCAAACAAATAACGGAAGTAGCCTGTGAATACTTAAACAGAAATGAGAAGCATTGACGAGTAGGATGCAGCTGACAGTCGCCAAATTTGTAATAGGATGGTGCCACACCACTTTCACGCATGGACATGACTACGTAAAGGGGTGTGTTAAGAATCTCACATTAGAAAATATATGACCTGAATATGTGTTTATAAGTGGGGTCATCCTCACCTTACAAGCTAATTTTATAACAGAGTGCGTGATTGAATTCCAGTAAAAATGCTCTTAGATACAGCCAGATCGGAGTGTTCTCAAGACAGACATAGAGGTTAGACGGTAATAAGGACACCCTTTAAAAATAACATAGAAGAAGGATCAAAACACCCAATGTATAATGTGTTGCAACAAAGTCAATCACCATAGAGTTCTAGACTCCACATTGTTAGCGTAAATACATGTTTTCCATAAAGAGTGGCACCCCTAGCCTTAAAACCTGGTTTTATGATGATCGATTTGGTTCAATATAAAAAACCTAACTAAAAAGAGTTTCTAAAAGATAAATTTGATTCAGTCATGTCAATATTATGATTCCCTATATTGTAGTTGTAGTAACCAAAAATTAGATTCATATGAAAGTAAAGCAATTGAAAAGTATTAAGCAAAATGTTGAATTACCAAAAAGCTGTAATATTAAAGAAACTTGGTGTGGTAGCCATGGAAGCAATAGACCCAGCAGCAAAAATGAACTGTGACATCCTCAAAGCCAAACCAAACATAGTACCAGGTGTCCCAGGAAAATCTTTCATCTTTTTCTCCAAAAGAATGAAACTTTTAGATTCTTCACAACTAATAACAAACACTCATCTCTAGATTTAACCCTAAAAAAGCAAAAGAAGAACCCAAAGTCAGGACCTTTAAAATCCACTTCCCAATCTAAAACAGGAAAAGAAGACAAATTTGAAATAATATAAGAAAATTGGAATATGGGGTGAGCATAGAAAAAGAAAAAAAACAAACAACAAAAGAAAAGGGAAAGTGTCAAAGGATGAAGAGTCAAAAATGTGACCAAACAAAACAGAAACGCAAAACCTTACCTTGGTTGGTTGGTTGGTTGCTTAGAATTGCACGATTCTTTTCTTGTATTGTTCTTGACAAAATCAAACTGACTCACCAACATGGGTCCCCTACAATGGCGTAGAGATTCTTATTCCATGAATAAAAGTGTGCCACCATTGTTTTACAAATTACGTAAATTCATTTTTGGAAAATACTAAAGAATTTTGTTAAGAAATTAAATATATTAATAATTTACTGTGTAGTTAATTCTTTTTTATAGAAATATTATTTTCAATGCAAAAACTTCATATACTGCAATTGGGGTCTATTTTTCTTCGCCTTGACTTGAGTTTAATTTTTATGTTATCTTTACTTTTCAAACAAAAATTAGGTAGTTGATACAAATACATCTCGTTGACTTTTGATTTAACTAGAACTATATAACTGAGTGATTCTTTTATGGAATATATATATATATATATATATATATATATATATATATATATATATATATATATATATATATATATATATATATATATATATATATATATATATATATATATATATATATATTATTTGTTAAAAAGTACAGGAGTGTGTCATTCCTAAGTTAATAGGGATGACTAGAGACTTTAATAATTTTTTTGTGGTGGCTTTTCAGCGATGGCGAAAGGTCCAATTTAATGGTGTTTGTGAAGAAAGCAAACTCGCGTGAGGTGACAAGTTATGTGTATATATGTGATTCTAAGTATGTTATGATATGTTATTCTCACCTGATAAGGGTGAGATATTTATAAAGGTTATCTTGGGTCTAAGGTTTTCTTAAAAATGATAATCGCTCACTAAGTTTATGATGGACCATTGAACTCCTACTTCCTAGGGATATAGGTTAGACTGTTGATATTGACTTCTCTCTGTCCGAGGAATGTCTTTCCTCATGTTTTTTACAACTGGGCGAGTAGAGAGCACTTAGGGTGAGGCGGTCTCTTATGGCAAGTGACAGGTAGGAATGGCTCTTTAAGGAAAACTAGTAGTCGTCCCGCCCTTAACAAGTCTTCTTACAAATATATCATTGCGCAGTCCCTTAAGCATAGGGGTTTTGATAAAGAGCAAAATGTTATGAGCAACAGAGCATTAGAGGTTTCTATTTAAGAGGATCCAAGTTCCTTCGGCGAGATGTTAAGCCCCTTGGGCTAAATTTTATATTAGATTTCGTTCGAGAAAACTCCAAGTTACTCAAGCTGGCATTGAGTTAAGCCTATTTAATGGGACTACCGGTCCCTCGGGCGAGATATAGTTGAAGTTTGGCTATTTCAAGATATAGAATTTTCCATCAAACTATAATCTTGCCTTGAAGCAAGAATTTTCCATCAAACTATAATCTCGCCTTAAAGCAAGAATTTTCCTATGTCCAAATGGAGCAATTTCCTTATGCCTCCGCCTACTATCAACATCTCAAATATTTGTTAAATTAACTCTCTAATGTTTATTTCCTGTGTATAATGAAAAGCTTGTTCTTTAACTCATATATGGCCTAAAAGATGTGTATGCCACATCGGGGTCACAAATTTGTCACGGATACTCTATTCCCCCTTTTTACAAAGCTCGTTCTTTGATAATCTTGCAGGAAACAACCAAAACAAAGAAGACGGTAAATTATGTCGATAAATATACATTTTTATCATCTCACAATGGGACTCCAAGTTACTCAAGCTGGCATTAAGTTAAGCCTATTTAATGGGACTACCGATCCCTCGGGCGAGATTATAGTTGAAGCTTGGCTATTTCAAGGTAGAGAATTTTCTATCAAACTATAATCTTGCCTTGAAGCAAGAATTTTCCATCAAACTATAATCTCACCTGTTGCACCCCAAATTTTGACCCCTTAGACTCTCATTCTCATTTTAGGAGTATACTCATGAGTTATCTAACATTAACCTAGTGCAAGTTTGTCTTTGTCAAGTTACAGATGAATCAGGGTTTTGTACAGTCAAATCGAAGCTTCAGGGTTTGTGATCAATCAAAACTTTAGGTTAATTCAATCATGAAACAAGATCAAGGGTATCATATAATGTCAATTGAGAATCCAATTTGAGGCTGTTACCCCAGAATCAAGAACAGTGTATTTCAGGGCACCCGATTGGGGTTTTTGACCAATAAAAGTCAATTGTAGTTTGACTTTGATGTTGGAAGGTGTTTTAATGGTGGGATTATGATTAATGAAGTTCATATAGCTTAATAAAGTTCATCCAAGAAGTTTCAAAGTCTCAGAAGGTCCAGAGTGTCAACAGACGACTCGGTAGTCACCGATCGATCGTACGGTTGACCAAAAAGTCAACTCTTCAAATTTAAGGAATTGGACTTCAAAGTGTGAATAAAAAATGTTCCTTATATCATATTGCACTTTCCTATCAATTTTCATGACCATTGGATCAAGGATGAAGGAGTAATCGAAAAATCGGGAAATTAGGGTTTTGAAAGGGGCTAAACCATAACTCCTTAACCACACATCCAAATGAAGTGGTTCAAAGCTCATTCGAAAGCTCTTGGTAAACCCTACAAAATTCCCTAAGTGGTCCATGATCAGAAAATGCATAAATTTGGAGTTATGACCAAATTCATTTTGAGAAGGGAAAAAGACTTAGAAAATTTTCACTTTTAAGCTCATTTTTTAGCAACTTTGAAAGGTTTTTTGGCCAAGTTCCTTTGAGAATTTGAAACTCATGAAAACATGAATGTTTTAGAGCTATTTGAGGGCTTTCTAAAAAAGTACTAGCACATCTCAAAAGGATTTGTGAGCTGAAAGTTATGGTTATGGCAAGTTGGTGGTTTCATGCTTGAAGTCTCACATTGACAAACTTTCAAAAATCATTCCTTTGATCAATTGGGCCAATCTCAGCTCTTGAAACATGTTTTATCTGATATGTAGGGAGTTTGTAGCATGAAAGTACAAAGGAAATGCAGAAGGTGTGGAATTAGCCAAGCTTGCAAGTGGCTTTACAACTTGCATTTAAAGTGGAAATGGCAAGCATGAGGTGGAAAGACAAATCTGAACCAGCCATCAACCTATGCATTCTAGACTGCATTTAGCCACTTCAAACTCATCATGAAGCTTGACTTTAGAGCTTACCTATCAGCCAAGGAAACCTCTTGGTGGAGGTTTGATCCAAAAAGTAAATATTTCCTTCATATGAAGGAAATCTCCAAATCTGCCCCCTCCATTCATTTGCCTATAAATAGAGGCCTTCACCACTTCATTAAGAACACATTATTCACTCTAAAAAAATCAGAGAAAGCTCAAGCCTTTACTCTTGCACACTTTGCTTCAAAATCACAAAATCACATTTTCACCAAAAAGCTTCAAAATCTGCCTTGCTACAATTGCTGCCAAAACCATTTCTCCACACTCAAACTCACCAAACATCATCCATACAATCTCTAAATATGATATAGAAGGTGTCCAAGACCTTAGACCACTCAAAAACCTCACCATTCAAAAAGTCAACTTCCATACCAAGTTATTTTGACCAAAAGCCACAAAATCAGCCAAAACTTGTTCTAGGCAGTTACTTGGTGTTCTAATCACTCTAACACCTCACAAATATCATTTCTCAACTGTCCAAAGCATTGAGGACCATTGGTGGAGTTTATTTCTCCAACTGTCTTGAAATTTGCATTCTTGCTTCAAGAAGAAGAAACCTCCAAGGCTAGGTGCATTTGAAGTTTTCTCTGGGTTTCTTATTGATCTAACCTGCTCAACATAGTTTACTAGAGATGTAACTGTTTTGTTGAGTTGGATCATCTCTAAAATCATGATTATGGCATACCAGTTTGGATTTCAGGCCATAAAGTGTTTAAATGTGAGTTCAATATCATCTATTTATGCATTTGTAACATGTGTGTATGGTATGCACAACTTGTTCTCATCTGTTTTGCTTTCCACTTCTCAAAATGCATCATTGTCATTTCACATGTCATAATCACAACAGGTTTGGTTTTTAAGAATGATTGTTTGAAGTTTTGGATACAAACCTAAGGGTTATCATGTATATGATGTGTGAACCTCTCTGTCTTGATGTAAGCTTCATTATTTTTGAAAACTACACACACTGCACCACATACTGCCATAGGCAGATTTTTGCACCACATCAATATGTCAATTTGTGCCTTGATGGTTTTGTGTTTGATTCTGGAGTATGATCATGTCTATCCTTATGAATGTGACTTATGTGCATAATTTATTTGATTCAAACCTGCCTAGAAATTGTAATGAACATCTTCATGTATGGCTCAAGGCATCAAACTTGCAATTCAGTTTTCATTTTTGTAAGCAGTCTGTTATAGGTTTCAAATTGTGTTTTAATTCATTCAATATCATGTATGTGTGGTGTATAGATGTTTAATTTGATCTGAAAATGCATAGAACCAAAACTGAGTGTCCTCATGCACTTCACACATACACACTGGCACATTGGTCACTACATTTCACAACAGTCTGTATAGGGTTTTATCTTGTGTTCAAAGCCATCCAACAACATGTATTTGATGTGTGTAAATGATTAATTTGGTCCATTGGTGCATGGAAACTGAAATGAACATCCCTGCATCTCATTCATGTCAGATTTGGCAACTCACATAGTATCATTCACCACTGTATGATTTTAACTGCATCTAGGTTTTAGAATCATTCAAAAACATATTTATGGTGTGTGTATATGACTTGTTTGGTCTAAAACTGTTTGAAATT